GTTTATTTATAATAATTAGATATTTAAAAATTTATTAATTGATGATTGTGTTTTGCAAGTTACAGCTTAATGATATTGTACGATCGTCAACAGGGATAGCAATACAGGCAAAAATGCACGAACTAAATAGAAATTTTCATGGAATTAAAACTGGAAATCATAAATTTGAATTCATATTTCAATTACCAAAAGAAGGTCTACATACATCATTTGATGTTGGAAATTGCGATGGGCGTATACGTTATTGTATAAATGTAAATATCTTTAAAATTTAACCAATTTAGCAAATAATAAATTTTCAATAATTTATCGGTAACTTTCATATTTTCAGTTGCAATGTTTTTTCTACGGTCGATTAGTGCTTAAGAAAACATTGATATTTCCAATCGTATGTCCAATTAATCCGCCTGAATGTTTGAAAGTATTCAACAATTATTATAACAAAAAACGAGTGGAATTCAAAAAGTAAATCTTTTTTTTTTCTCAATCTTTTCAATTAACATAAAATAAAAAAAAAGTGTCCAGTTTAAATTTTCACGTAAATATATAAATTTTGCTTATAATTTTTACTCTTCAAATTATTCCATCAGAAGCTATATTTGAATATATACATGCATAATTTTGAATATCTTTTCTAGAGGTCGTTATCTTGATGCTGAATTGTCAATCTCGAAACGTTGGTTTGTACCTGGCGAAGCGTTACCTGTTCAAGTTTATATTGATAATAGGTATTTATAAATTTTTAAGATATTTAAAAATTTTCTATGGCAAGTTTTTGAGAATTTAGTTTCTTTTTTTTTCTTTATTCCTACAAAATTATTCAAAAAAAAGATTTCTTTTTTTTGCATAGGTCTGGTAAATCTATAAAATTTTCTCATTTATCAATACAGCAACGTGTTTTCTGTATTGCAACACATCCAATAACATATGGCAAAGAATGGTTTCAAGATACGCTTGGTAAATTTATTCCAAATTTTTTCAATTTTTAATTTAATCGATTGATAGTTCACTTTATATTAATTTTGTTTAATTATGAAATTATTTTCCTAAAATTTGATAATAGGTGTTGGTATGGATGTATGTAAAATACCAAGTGAATCGACGCATAAATATGTGCCAAAGTTTAACGTACCAGCTTTGGTACCTGGTTTCGAGATTGATGGTTGTATGAGTCTCGAATATGCCCTCAAATTGGACATTGGTTTTGATAGGAACGTGATGAATAATGACGTGAAATATATCATCTGTACCTTAACTGTATGTCTTTTTAAACTTTTTCATTTAATGTAAGAAGCTAACTGTGAACAATTATTGAATATTTTAAAATCATTGTTAGCCAAATTGACCTAGCAATAGTGTTTAAGCCTAATTAAAATAATTTATACATGGCTTCTCGTAATATCTAACACTTAGCATTTGTTTGCTTCTTTAATGGTTCTTCTACAAAACTTAATGAAACATTCTTTTATTGAATTTTGGAAATGGATATAATACTTTCATGAATTTAGAAAAATTTAAACCAATTATAAAATTTTAAGAATGAATAATAGCATTTTATTCAGATACCTATTTTCATCGGAACAAGTTCCATAACAAACACAAATTTTTCGCAGAAATCCGAATTTGAAAAAGGTAATATTTTCGAGTTTTTAAGTATTAAAGCCAGAATTTTTAAATTTCCAATATGAGCATTAAATTAAGCAACAATTTTAATTCAGCGGTAAATTAATTTGAGAAGAAGAGAACTTTAGAATGTATGATTGCTAAAATTTTTAAATTAAGCCAACTGAAACTAAGAAAAACGAACAATTTTGTTCAGAATAAAAATTTTAATCCAATTTATTTTTCATTTCGTTCACCTTTAATGACCTAAAATCAAAAAAAAAAAAAAATTTGTAGCAATTGTGTCACCTCCAAATTACGACGACATTCCACCGCCATCTTATGATGAATGCCTTTCAAAACTTCCAATTGCCAAAGAAGCAAATAACCAATGGTCAGCAGGAACTTCATTATTGACCACTATCAATGATGATACTTCGAAAAATGCTAAGTGATACTTGGATGAATGAAAAGTTTAATCTTTCATGATTGCTTCAGGAGATGTACCAATTAATTATTTTATAATGATCGAAATAATGCATGTTATAGTACTTTTTTCAGAATTAACATTTCCAGCTAGATTTCATTCCAGATGAATGATTAACTGATAATAACATTTGTAAATTGTCCTGAAATAGCTAATAAAATTTTAATCTTGGTCTAAAATAAATCGATCAGTTACACCTAATCAGGATATTTTGATCATCCATTGAATTCCTCTAATAGAAACAGATAACGAGTTATAATCAACCATGCATTAGTAATATTTAAGAAAATGCGCAATCTTCTGAAACTTGTCAAATTGAAAAATGTCCTTAGATTAGAGATTTCATGAGTAAATGAATCATTTTTGTTGCTAAAAAAAATTGTTTTAACTTATGAAAGGCAGAGGTCAAGAAAAGAAAATTCAAAATGTCTTGAGAAAATATCAACATTTAAAATAAATATGATGATATGAACTGTTCTGATATTTTTCAAATTTAAAAGAAAATCAATGGGCAAAGAAAAATTCCATCACAAAATGAAAATAATTTAGGAATAATATTGATAGGAAAGAGCTGGAAAAGAAAATTAGTTAATAAAAATTTTTACATTGTATTCAAATTTCATCAAAAAATATACCTTTGTTTGTTAGTTAGCAGCAAAAAATTTTTAAATTTAATTTTTTACAAAAAAAATCACCCATAAATTTTGCTAATTGATAATATCAAACAATACATGAAAATGAAGAATTAAAATTACGATTTTTTGTTAAAATACTAAAGGAGTGCATCTAATTATTGTCTTTATATTTGAATAAATTATCAACAAATAAACAGTTAAAAATAAAAAAAAATTAAAAAAAAGAAGCACTCGTTAGTGTGCAATTACATTCATTTTCGATAAGACACCTATTAAATTGATTGAATTTGACAGTTTGCATCTTTTTTTTTTCCCATTCAATTCATTTATTTTACTTAAACGATCAACCATTCAATCCAGTCTTTTTGGTAACACAAAAATGTACGTTTCTCCCCTTCTGTTTATATTCTTGTTTTGTCTTAAGTAATCAATAAAATGAACGCTTCAAAAAATGCACAACTAATTACTGAATTCTTAATAATAATAAAAATATAAAAATTTGCGAAAAAATTTTGTTTTGATAGAAATTAGATTTAGTGTAAAATTTAAAGATTGTTCAAAATTTGAAAATAATATTAGTTTTTGCAATTAAAATTTGAACTTTTAGCGGCAAATTTTTTTGGTTTATATAGCAATAATTCCAAAATTTAAACTGACATATTGGGATTAATTGTTTACAAACCGGGAAAGAAATGTTCCGGCTATTACGGAACATTTTAATGAACTTTTATTTTTTATTTCATCTATTTGCATTATTAAATTGCAAAGATTCTTCTGATTATTTATTCTATGATAATGATACGGATGAAAAAGAAAGGTATGCTTTTTATTTCTTCATTAAAAATCGTATCAAATATGTTACGTGATTTATGTGAATTATATTATGTAAAAGGTAAACAATGAATACTTTGCATATAATTTTTCTATGCACTTTCTAAATTTAAAACTTCCATGATTTAGCTATAAATTTTTCTCATTTCATTATTTTCCTTGCATTTTTTGGCAATTTTGTTTTTCAAATAAGTAGCAAATCCAGAATCACTTAAAGTGACCAACAACAATTACGGAATAATGAGGTATTACCCGAAAGCGATACCGCAAATGACGTCAGCGGAAGAAATGTCAATTTACTTGAGAATGGAAACAAATTTGATTCAAGCAACGAAAATAATATCGTTAAGCTATTATGGAACAATTTGAATGCGATTGAAAGTAATTCGGGTGATAATTTTATTGAAGAAATTAGTGATGAAGAAGTTGCAACAAACAGTGTCACATATCATTTTGATTATTTTTTTGTACTTAGATAATACTTGAATAGAGCAAAACAATTTTCATTTTTCTCATTTATTTGAAACTTATTTGCTTTTTTTATTTGAAAATTTTTTTTTTGAAAGTTTTAATTTAAAATTTTGTCAAGTTATAATTTTTCTACTGTTATCATCAAAATTACCTAAGAAATTAGTCAAAAAAAAAAACAGAAATCCTTCACAATTCTATCGCTTCAAATATTTATTTAAATATTTAAGTAATGAATTTCGGAAATTACATCTTTAAATTCATCGTCTTGTCAATTTTTCTTTTTTTCTAATATTTAAATATTTTAGGAACATCTTCTTCTGAAATCAATTATTTTACTCAAAGTGAAAATATGACTGCCAAAATTCTTGACGATATTACTGGTAGTAAATTACCAATTTTATGGATAAATAAAACTTATCAAGTAAATTTTTGCTTTACGTAACATTTACACGTCCGGAAATACATTTCCGCGCAAAGAAGAATGTATATGTGGATGATCGTACCATATCGATCAATCATTCATTCTTTCAGGCTTATGATATAGGCTTAAATGTGACAACAATGGTTGAATGTGCTGTATGGAATGTATCAATGCTAATTAATGTCACTGATATATCACTGGTAAGTTACTAATTTTCTAAATTTAATAGCTTTCTTTTTTTCTTTCAAATTAATTACTTTTGTTTTTTCTTTGTTTTATTTTATATGTTAAATGAAAATAGGAAAAAATGAACTCTGAAAAATAAGAAAAAATGAAAAAAAATAAGTTTTGTATTTAAAATTTTAAGGATCAAATGAATGCTACTGATGGTGATGCAAATTGGAGAACAAGCGGTGTAGAAATTGTAAATACAAAAGAGCGTCTGGAAGAACTGAAATTGAATACAGATTTACTTGATAAATATAAGGTTTAAACGTGCTTTATTTCAACATTTCAAGAAATTTTATGAATTGATTGGTAAACTTAATTTAAAAAGTTAATAGATCTATTGCATTGTTAGTTATTTATTAGCAATACAATTGCCAAATAAAATGCTCCAATAATAAACTGTTAAATACATTTTAATAATAGTGCTCTGATAATAAACTATTTTGTATTTGATAAAAAAACGTTCTAAAATCTTTTGAATATTTTTTTGATTGTTCATTTTGCATAATTTAGAAAATTCTTTAAGGAAATTATAATTGTCTTCGAAGAAATTTGTAAAAATTATCCACGAGAATTATGGTTTTCAACAGTTGAAGATGCACGTCAATTGGGAATAACAAAAATCGATTCATTCATCTGTGATCCATTCAAGGTGGGTGGCATTTACGATCAGAATTTGTCAATGAAAAATAATTTTGACAATGATTTCTAAATTTTCTTTTAAAATTTGTAGAATTTTTAATAAATCCGAAAACATTTTACGGAAACCGTTTTTTTACTGTTCATTCCACCTGTCATTATAGAAATAAAAACAATCATTATATTGAAATGTCAAATGAAAAGTTGACTGTAGTACCTTCTGATTGATTTAAGCAATAGATCAAAGGTCATGACATTTTAATTTAATGATAAAAATGATATAGTTTAATTTGTTGCAGGAAGAATTACATCCCAGTGAGGAGAAATTGCAACAATTCCAACAACTTTTAAACGGAATTGTACAAAATATCACTTTAAATGATATGTTTCATATTTGTCATCTCTTCGCAATAGTAACTGCATTCAGCATGCGAATTAGCTGTTAGCAATAAGAAATTTTAACTTAAGAAAATTTAAACTATTTTTGAAAAAAGATGAGAACTTTTGTAAATTACTATAATTTATTGACAGTATCAATTAAATGTTTTTTAGGATTGTCCACGAAATCGAAGAACAATATGACAGAGGGAATAGTTGCGCCAATTATGTCATTGATATCTCACAGGTAATATAATTAATGTAAGACTGATAACAAATACAATTGTACAATCTAAGATTTAAATTAAATTTTTCATTTCGTGCCATTATTTCTTACGAATAAATGATGAAAATGCATTTGCCGAAAAGCAACAATATAATAATTGCAAAAATTCATTGTAGTGCAGAAAAAGAAGTTCATAAGCGCAACTTGGCACAATATCTCAGAGATGTATCGAGGAAGGACGAGAGTGATGATGAGGAAAGTGAGGAATTTCTGGATTTAGTGTTAGCTGACAAAAACGATGAGTCAGCACATTTGGATGAGGTTTTTCTTTTTTTTTTATATGAATTGAGATAATTGAAGCGTAAATTACACGATTGATTGCCTTTAGCATTTTTGTTTAAATGATTTACAAGAAATTTGGTGTTTTTTTTTGTGATATTTTAGAATGAAATTTATTCGTTATACAGGTAAATCATTCATTTATCTTGTTTTTCTTTTTTTTTTTAGGATTCACGGAGTAGCATTCAAGAGGAATCTGATGAGATGATTGTCAGTGATAATGATGATGATAGGAGTTCAAAAGTACCACTTGTAATTAAAGTAGATCATGGCCAGCAACAGTAAATCTTTCTTAATTTAAATTATTTGCAATTGTTTCATTTTATGAAACATGATAGCATTAGTAACAAGTTAAGTTAGTGGTTTGTCGAAGCGAAACAAAAAAAAACTTTTTTTTGAAATTAACTGTAATGAATTCAGAATTTAGGTGGTTTAAATTGTTAACAAAATAACAGTGACAGATGAAGCAACTTTGAGAATTCTTTGATCATTAGGCCATTAATTTGCAAGTGATTAATTGTGAAGCTAATTAATAATGTAAAAGAATGGACGTGTAAAATGACCTGAATTCAGAGCTCGTTTAATTATACATAATTGGGATGCAATTCAAGCATTACGTCTAAATATATCGAAACACGTATTTGAACGACATCAATTGATCGGTTTATTGCTTGATGGCATTTGCGCTGATTTTGTACCAAGCGCTATTGATGAATTCAATGCAACCGAATTCGAAGGTTGTTATGCTTTGCTGTTGTTATTTTAGATGAATTTTTGCAAAGAATTAAATAAAATTTATGCATAAAAAAATGCTAAAGCTCTCATTTCTTAATTATAATTTTACAGGAGTGGATATTGAAGGACCAATAGGATTGAATATAACAACTTTGTCGTTATCTGGTGTTAATTTAACAGAATTAGCTGAAAAGTTACGAAATGATACTGAGGTGGATATGATACTTAGTAGAACGATGTCCGAGGAAAAGTATGTTCACATTTAACAGCAATATTTTGATCAAATTTAAAATTTCGTT